TCGATCAAACGAAGACGGGTTACTATTTCGGCGAACATCCTTTAAGGCCATAAGCCATCGCCAAAGAGAAAGTGCAAAATATTCCTAAGGCCAAGGACCATCAGAAAGTGCAAAAGACTGGGACTCGCCGTGCTGGAATCTATCTCGCACTGAAGTCACGCGAAACAAAAACAAGAGTAAAATACAAGACAAATAACAGCGAAAAATTCTCTTTTATACAAAGTTTCCGCACAAATGGTCGCATATTACATAAGACCCAAGTCAACAATATAAAAAAAAACAAAGGGGAAAAAGAAGAAAGGAACAACGACAATCGACTACGAACGAAAAATTGGGAAGAAAACAACAAACGGAAAACAGATCAAGATCACTCTCCCTCTACTCTGCATCATCATAGCCACCCTCTCCACTACAATCTCCAAGAAGTTCTCCTTTGGCGTCCATTCCCCTATTGGCTTCTGCCATCGCCGCGTCATATCCACAATTGACGCGAGCCTCCCGCGCCTCTTCATATGCAGCCTCAGTCACATTACCATCCTCCCACAAACTCTTGTATATATCCCGCTAGGCTTCGGCGTAAACCCAAAGCTCGTGCATACGACGGGGATGGCAGTGGAGGAAGATTTAATCTGAGCCAATAGTCGCTCATTTTCTGGCTCCAGTGCTGCGACCCGATCTCCCAGAACCGATGCCTCTTGGTCAATCTTGCTAATGCGCTCCTCAAGCCTTGCCTCCATAAAGGTGGTCGTTGCTCTCTCCGACTCCTACTCGGACTGGAGGATGCAATTGGTGTTCTTCAGGTCCGCCGCCCTCGCTGAAGCCGCGGACCAAACACTCTCTATGCCCTCCAACCCAACAATCTTGTTCTCTAGCCCAATCAATTTCCCCATCCATTCCGCGCTCAGCGCCTCGACCTTGATCAAGTTCTGATCCATCTCCGACTGTATTGACCTCAATTTCTCCTGCAGATGCTCGCACTCTGCAGTGACTCCCTTGCCCAACTCGAGCTCCTCGTCCTTTATTCGAAGTTGCTCCTCAAGCACACTCTTGCTGCGGATAGCCTGCATTAATTCCTAGTCCTTTTTCTCCAACTCCTCTCCAAGAGCCCGACTACCGGGGTTTGCCTTCAACCGCTCATGCATATCGCGACACTTGTTGCGGTAGGGACGATATTTCTCCAACATCTTCAAGAAAATATTGGCCTGAATGTTAGTCCTGCGAATGCTCTCCACTTCCACCATATACGTTTGAAAAATGAAAAGACGGGTTAGAATCCTATCATCAAGAAAGATGAGGGAAAAGCGAAAGTAAGCGTAACATACCCTTAAGCCCATAGCGCTCACCTCGTCCATCAAGTTAGCATCGGGAACGGTCCGAAGGGCAGCATTCTCGGCTACGGAGCATAGCATGCTGAACTGCGGCACCAGGTCCTCCGTGTCCCCCAAGAGATTGACATCCGAATGGATCTCAAGAATACGAGCCGAGCCTCCCGCACGAACCACCGAGTGAGTAAGACCCTCCTCAAACATCCTGACATCATCAGGATCGAGGGTCGAGGTCCGATTCGGATTCGTAATCATCAACCACCATGCTTTTTCCTCTTTCAGCAGCTGAAAAGGAAGCATGACCAACTGCGGAGGACTAGGGCACATCCTAAACTATAACGGTGGCCCCAGAAATTTGACCTTCCGCCACGATAGGTTGCTGACCACCGACAATGGTGGGAATCTCTGATTGAGCCAAGATGACGGTCAGTTCCGTCCCTACGGAGGAAGTCGCGACAACCCCCTCTCCAGATCCTGTCGAAGGAGAGTCATCTAGATGAATCACTGTTGGGGGTGTTGTCTCGAACTCAACTCATTGTCTTTTTGATAGCCTCTATTCTTCCCTAGTAGGCAGAGATTTACCCGTCGGGCGAACGGCACGGGTCAAAACTTTGGCTTGAGAAGCGGCCCTCGTAGGAGTAACCACGACCGTAGACTCAACTGAAGCAGCCCTCGACGAAGGTCGGGCGGTGGGTACCGTGATAGAGCTAGAAGATGAGGCTGGCTGCCGGAAAGCTAACGGGGGAGCCCTCACTCTCTGCACCCTCCCTAACACCGACGAACAACACGTGAGGAATTAAATACAAAAAGGGAAAAGAGAAAAACGACGAATAGAAATGACATCTTACGAGAAAGAGGCATGCTCTCATACTTGTCATAGAAAGTCGCCCACGTGCGAACCCCCGCCGTATGAGAGAGAATATCACTCACCCACTCATGGATATTTTCGACAGGTGGAGGGGGCAATTTCTCAGCTGCAAAAATATAACAGGTTTAGTGCTGTAACAAAAAATGGTCAGATATATCCCCAACTAAAAGCATGAGACTTACGTGCAAAGTTCCATTTCTCAGGGAAGCCCGTCGGATCCGCCACAATGTGTTCAGTCTGCACATAGAAATAATTCTCATAAAAACGAAGGTTAGTCCTGTCGTCCATTTTCACCACCAGACTCTTAGACCCCCGAGGACGCATGTGAAGCATCGTGTCGCGGATAAGCTAAGGGGCGAAGATACTGAGCAGGTGATCCAAGGTGATCTCACGATCGACGAGTTACGCAAACTTGAGCAACATAAGGAACAGCTTGTACAGGTACGGTGAAATTTGGGCGTGACATACCTCATAAAAATGGCAGAAGTCTACCACCAGGAGAGGGAGAGGAAGTGTGTATCCAATAAGGAAGGGGTAGGCGTAAAATACACAGTACCTAGGACGGTCAAAATAAACTTTGTCGTTTCCTTCCGCCAGCCGCATGTCAACGTAGTCGGGGATCCCCCACCTGGTTTTCAACTCTGCAATTTTTTCTTCTCTCATAACAGAAGGTACAGGCCCCGGCTCCGCCTCGGTGCGGCTACTGATGTCGGTCAATTCTCTCTCGGGGCGAGACAAAATCTCAACTATCGACGGGACTTCCTCATCTTCCACTGCATCTGCCCCCTCCAGTGGTCTGAGCAGCACTTTTTGGTGCCGGAATTGTGATAGGGAGATCAGTGCGAGAGGGATCACCAGCCATTTTGTCCAGAAGATACGGCGAAAAGACAACGGAAAGAAAGGATGACAATTTTCAGTTAACAAAAGGGCAAACGAAAACTTGGAGTGTCAGGAAGAAAGTATATCTGCAGAATTCTTTCGAGTAAAAGACAAAGAAGTGTGTCAATCGAATGATAAGTTCCTTCTATTTATAAGAGATAAAGATCCCCGAGCACGAAATCCAAGAGTCGCTAATCGAACCTGATAGGGCACAAAACGTTTTAGTTCCCCAGGAACGTGTGTCATAATGGCGGTAACCACGAAATAATGCTTTGATGTCAAACGACGTTTTGGTTCCGAAACAACCACAACGGTTCACGGGTATCGAAAGAGCGTCGCCACCTCGCCTAAAACCCAAGTAATGTAACTAAGGAACGAGAAGTCAGAAATCAGATTTCGCTCGAAATTGTAGCAATCATGATCCGTCTGCCGGGCCCGACAGAGGACAACCCCGGCAGACGGAGGGACTAACTGTATTGGTCAAAATCTGACTGTCACGGTCGAACTGACCAACGTCCCACCTAAGTGAACGGGCAGCGAAAGATAACATAGCCCACTCTACATCTCATTCCCGACACCCGTCGAGTCGAAAGGAGCAATGTCTAAAAGGACGACCAAGACACACTGGATGCGAGAGAACGTCAGACCAAGTAAATGGTAAGGGTGCCTTGACTATATATAGTAAAGGAAAACCTTCGATTAGAGGGGCTCCTCCCCCTTCTCTCTCCTAAGCTATCTTCTTGTAATCTCCATAGGAAAAAAGTAATCTACAGAAGAACATGTAAAGCCACCTCTCCCTTCGATTGATGAGAGTCACAATATTGAATTTTAATAAGATCGACTATATCTCTTTCATCCTACGTACTATCTATACTATTAGTTTTTTGATCTGAAATGTATTATGTTCTTATTAAGATTTACCTCTTCATTTTTTTTATTAATTTGTTAAAAAAATGTTCCAATATCTTTTGAGTCAAACAGTAAAAGTGGAATATGAGAAAAGGCAAAGTCTTGGTCGTCGCTAGAGTTGCCCGGCACTAATGATGATTAAGTCTTTGGCCTCATCTTAATTCTTATAAGGTTCACACTTGACGTAACCAGCAAGCTTTGTCTGGTACCATACCTCATATGAATTTGTAAATTCCAATTTTGAAAAGGACAACTTTTTAAACCTTTTTTGTTTTTGTTTTTGGGGAGAGAAAAACACGTCATTTTTTTTCTCTCTCCGTAAAATATACTTTACCGAATCATTCTTAAAAAGTTATCCAAAGAGTTGCAAAAGTTACAAAAAAATACTAAGTGGGTGTTTGGCTAAGCTTATAAACCGGTCAAATTGATTTATAAGTAATTTTTGGCTTATTTATGCGTTTGGTAAAATTAAAAGTGTTTATAAGTTAAGTGCTTATAAGTTAAAAGTCATAAGTTGGTCTCCTCCCACTTATCAAATTTCAGCTTATAAGCACTTTAGGTTTGACCAAAATATTTATTATTCTATCCCTAAAATAATTTTTTTTAAACAAAACTCTTCGTATACCCAGTTCTTCAACTGTTTATTATTAATTTCAGTACTTTTATCCAAACACGTAACTTTTTATTTTTTAAATCAGTTTCAGCATTTAAAAGTATTTTTCAGCACCTAATGCTTATCAGCTACTCTAAGCTAAACCAAACGGGTTCTAAATTACATGCTCTTGGGATGTGTATCATGTGACGAGTCATTAAAAACGTCAACCAATTTTCTTTTTTTTTTTCTCAACCAATTGTATTTATGGTAAATAGTAGTAGTACCATATATCAAGATTCACCAAAATGTCGACCAATTATATTTATGGTGAGTAGTAGTACCGTACTTTCACATGTTCCATTTTTACGTCAAATACAAACAAAACTCTCCATTGCATTTGCAGTACGCTGATTTTCTCTCTCTCATGTCTTAATCTCTTTGTCGTGCAGTACTACACCAAATTTAACCACTACTACACTATATAAAAACACACACACATCTCCAATCTTCCCTCAATGATTTTCACTAAACTCCAATGGCACGTTATCAACCCCTTTTCTTCCTCAGTCTCTTTCTTCTTCTCATCATCTCCGCCGCTGCCCACGGCGGTGCTCACGACGGAGATGCTGACACAGATTCCGACTCACCTGCACCCTCCGATAAACCCCATCTGAGATCTCGACCGTTGGTTCTTGTAAAAATATGGTGTTTGATTATAGTCTTTGTAGGGACTTTTCTTGGTGGAATATCACCTTATTTTATGAAATGGAATGAAGGGTTTTTGGTTCTTGGGACACAATTTGCTGGTGGTGTGTTTTTAGGGACAGCACTTATGCATTTCTTGAGTGATTCAAATGAGACATTTGGAGATTTGACGAATAAAGAATACCCTTTTGCTTTTATGTTGGCATGTGCTGGTTATTTGCTTACTATGTTGGCTGATTGTGTTATCTGCTTTGTTTATGCCAAGCAGAATAACAGCAACGATGTTCAGCTCCAAGGTTCGTGCACCTTTTATTATTTTTAACTTGCTTTTTACAGTGTGGTGTTTTAGCCTTTTGATGCGACAAAATTTGACTTTATACTTTTTGTGCAGTTTCTCTTATATCTAAATTTTAGTTGATCTAATTTAGCTTCGAGAATTGGTCAAATTAGCACTTAATAAGCAAAATTCGTCATACAAACTAGGATGGTGAAAGTACTAGTGACATTTTATTTTTTTTCCCCAGAAGAAATGAGAAATTTAAAAAGCGAAAAAAACAATAATTTTTCTCTTGTTTTACATAATTTTAAGCAAAGCTAGTTAATTGGAGCTTCGTTTTAATTCGAATACGTTTTGTTAAAAAAGCATACTGCACCTAACTTTAAAAGGTTGAATGTAGAACTTTTGCTTGCTTCCAAGTTACTTATAATATGGCGTAGCAGGAGAGCTTCATAGTTCATGATATGACGGCAAGAATTGTAGATTAATTGTTTTTCATCGTTTTATATTGCTAGTTAATCATTATTAGGGGTGCCAAACGGGGTCAGATATGGGGATCAAAAATGAGTAATGCAAAAACAGATAAATTATTCGACTGGACCCATAATGAATACGGATAAGAAATAGGTTAATCGGCGGATATTCATGGATTTTAGAATATGATCACTTTTGGGAGAATTCCTTGTCTCTCAAACTTGAGGCACCCCCAATTTGAGTAGTTATTATCTATATTTGACCCGTTTTTTAAAAAGTTCATTTTTAATATATAATGTGGGTGGATAACTGTTTTCTTTTATCCATTTTGCCACCACTAATCATCATGGTCAGTTTGGCTTTGTAACAGATTCGGGTTGTTAAAACTCCACGCCTGCTATAAGAATTAGAAAACTAATGCAGAGTCTTGACCCCTGTTTGGTTATAATTACAGCATCCGAATTTCCCATTCTTGAGGTTTTTAAATAGGAATTCTTGAATGATAAATCATGGCTTAAGCCTTGTTGCTAGAAAAGTAGGAATCTCACAACTCTATGCAATAAAGCAATCTCTGCTGATGCTTCGAATCCCATGTTTTGTTCCAGGTGCTACTGAAAATGGAAAAGGCAATGGGGTAGGGCAGTCACAGGTTAGAGATAAATCTTTATTTATTTTCCTCTAAGAGCCTTTTTGTGTGCTCATATTCCTTCTATTTGTAAAGTTCTGTTCTTGTTTGTGTGGCTAAGTTAATATGTGTCAATTGCTATCACAGGTCTGTGATGGTAGAGAAGATTACTTTTCAAAAGCACCTCTTGCAACTGCATCTTCACTTGGTGATAGCATCCTATTAATCGTGGCGCTGTGTTTCCATTCTGTCTTTGAGGGAATTGCCATTGGCGTCGCAGATTCAAAAGCCGATGCTTGGAGAGCTCTTTGGACTGTCTGTCTACACAAGATATTTGCTGCTATTGCAATGGGAATAGCTCTACTTAGGATGATCCCAAATCGTCCGTTGTTATCTTGTGCAGCATATGCTTTTGCCTTTGCCATCTCTAGTCCAATTGGTGTTGCCATTGGAATCATAATTGATGCTACAACTCAAGGGGTTGTTGCAGACTGGATCTTTGCTATATCAATGGGATTGGCTTGTGGGGTTTTTGTCTATGTATCCATTAATCATTTGCTTTCAAGAGGATACAAGCCTCAGAAAATGGTCTTAGTTGACAAGCCTCATTTCAAGTTTTTGGCTGTATTGTTAGGTGTTGGAGCGATTGCTGTGGTCATGATATGGGACACTTGAGTTTGTGCTTGATTTGTTTGCAGCCGCAAAGCTAGGAATTGTCTCAAGGGTATTCAAATTTGAAAGAAGTGAAAAACAATTCCCGACAAAGACTGTTCAATATGTGTTATATACCTCTAAAATATAATATTTTACCTATATACATAGTGCAATTTTTCGACAAAGGGTGATCAAACTGACCACTCTTTGTGACCATGTGGCTTCGCCACTGATTGTTTGGCAGCAGTAGCAGAATAGTTACCTCTTATTTGGAAAATTTATTTCATTCTTGTTTCAAAGAGCAGGTATACATGACATGGAGAGTGAAATGTACAGTACTAAAAATTGGGATTTTTCTAGGTTGTCTTTATCCCCTCTTATTTCAATGGAATTGATTTTCAAGAATACCAAAGATTTTTTTGGATTATTGCCAAGTTGCATACTCCCTCTGCTCCACTTTAACTAATTGTTTTTGGTTGTTTTCACGTATATTAAGGAATTCACATTTTTGTATTAATTAATAATGTAATTGACCATATTAATCTTAATTTGTAAATTGAAAATACAACAAATACTCCTTGGTTCTTTACTCAAAAAACAACTTTGAAAAAAAAAAATTAATTCTTTCTTGATATTTGAAAAAATCAAATATTGTGTGGATCGTAAAAAAAAGGCCAAAAAATCAATTAAAATGAACCGAATGGAGTACTGTGTAAATAATATTGATTGTCATACAAAGTGGGCGTTTGGACATAAGAATTGTAAAATTCCCAAAAAAGTGAAAAATTTTCAAGTGAAAATGGTATTTGAAAGTTAGAATTGTGTTTGGACATGAATATAATTTTGGGTTGTTTTTAAAGTTTTGTAAGTGAACTGACTGAAAATTTTGAAAAACAACTTTTTGGAGTTTTTCAGATTTGCGAAAAATTCCAAAATTCATCTTCAAGTGAAAATTAAAAATTTTATGGTCAAACACTGATTTTAAAAAAATAAAAAAGTTTCGGGAAAAACTAAAAATATTCTTATGTCCAAACGGGCTCAAAATTGAGAAATTTTCATAAAGCACTATCTTTTAGTAGTAATTAGTCATCTATAGATACAATTTGCTATATTACGGATTATAGATACCTTTTATGTGGTTATAAGATGTATTTGATGTATTTAAGCTATTGTATTCATGAATACAGTAGCAAAAATAGACGTAAATCAGGGAAGTCTAACTAATCAGTTGTTGTATTCGACTGTATTCATGGAGTGAAATATGGGATTACAGCTGGACAGATTATTATATTCGGCTGTATTCACGGCGTGAAACATGGGATTACACTGTTTTTAAAACGGAAAATGGATCAATTAACATAATAGACTCCTAATATAACTCAACAAACTCAATTATAGCACACAAATTTTGTATTTTCAGTTATAAAAAAGATTCTCAACCGAAAAATACCCAAAAACATAGCAATCTTCAGAGAAATTATATAATACATCTGAATATATAAATTATATTACTTAAAAAAAACATATGAATACATTCATGGCATATAGCGAGACAGTGAATACAATGAAATACATAGAATACAGCGGGATACATTGAAATACAATAAAACAAAAAACAGTGAATACAATGAAATACATGGAATACAACGAGATACATTGAATTCAATGAAAAAACGACAATGAATACAATGAAATACATGAAAATACATTGAAATATATTAACAGAAAATAAGTTGCTCAGCCCCAAACTCCGCCGTCATTGTTCTAGATAATGTATTACTGTACTGCTTGTTCACAGCTTGATATAGCTCCAAAGCAGGAAAAGTTTCGGTGAGTTTCGGATCCAAAGCAGCACATTACCACCATATTGACAATTATCTCTCGAAATCGATATCAATTGAGACCACCATAGTCCAATGGTATTAGCAGAAGTTTTCTGCACAACAAGTGTAAGTTCGACTCCAATTACCACCGAAACATAGTAAGTTTCGGTAAGCAAAGCAAGCACGAAGCTGTTCTAGGTCGTCGTCGGTGACGCTCTTCGATCAGCGACGGTCGGCGAGCTTCGTGCGGTAATTTCCTTTTCGCTTGAGCCAGGCTTCTTCTCGAAGCATATCAGGATACCATGATTTCTGCTTGAATAGCGGCGGTAGAGCTTCCCGTTCCGACATGGCGTCTGCAGAAAATTACATGCGCCGCCGCGTTGGAATGAAAAACTTGATTGAGATTTTGTGTAGATCGGAATGAAAACAAAATAGTGTGGGTGAGAGGAATTGAGAGAAGAGAATGGGATGTATCAAAGTAGAGAGAGAAAGAAAATAGTGTAACTGAATAGCGTATTTAGTGGGTTAGGGCTAGGAGGTAACCAAAATTAAATATTTTGCTATAAATCTTAAAAAATATCTATAGAATATAATTTTTTTAAATGGTATTTATTTAAAATAAACAAAGTGTTAACCGGTAAAAATTTCCTCAAAATTTCACTTTGCCCTATAAGAAGAGTTTACATTTTTGTAATGTTTTGCCAAATAGACATTTTTATTGTTAATTGCGCATAAACTAATAATATGTGATTGTTGTGTTAGGTAAGAGTGGAGCATAAGAGTGATCTTTGGTGTAGCTAATACTAAAGACATAAATCTTTACATGTTGCCAATAACAAGTAATGTGAAGTAGAAGAGGTAAATGTAAAGTGACTAGGCATCTATAAATCCCGAATAAATATTTTTCACACTTTAAACAACATTTGCATGATTTCAAATAACGCCTTTCATAAATGGATGAATTATCTACTTTACTCATCTGTAAAAGTAAGTGACTAGTGGGAGTTTGGACAATATTTGATTGAATTGAGAATGAATACTTGGAAGTTAGAAGTTGTATTCGAACTTGATTTTCACCTTAAAAAATTGAATTGAAAGATTGTCAATGAAAGCTATTACTATTTCACTTCAAATATTCCTTAAACAAGTTTTTAAGTATTTTCACCAACATTTGCCTCAACACTCTTTAAATAGCTACAAGTTCACAGGAAACGCTTCTCAAACAAAATTTTCAATAAATGTTCGCCTCAACAGTTTTCATATACTGGTTGGTCATATGTATTAGGACTTCTTATCAGGGATTGGGCGGATATTTACGTTTAGCGGTTTGTTTTTTAGTTATCTATATTATCATTAAAACATGAATACAATGTTGATTTACAAAAATAACCTTATAATATTAAGCATAATAACTCACAATAAAAGGGTATAACCGGATTCTAGATATTAGCCTTGTATAATCCTATTAGTTTTAGGATATAATACTACACATTAGGAATCCTACATGATTACAGACATATTTTTAGTCATGTAATCCTATTACTTTTAGTTACTTTTAGGATATACTTCTTAAAATTTTCAATTACTAATTTAATTTGAAAATATATTATATTGTCCTATTACTAATTTAATTTGAGAATGTATCATATTGTCCAAATCCATTTAGAAAAGGGAGAGCCTGTATTATTTAAAAAAATAGGAATACAATATTAATCGACCAAAATAGTCCTAAAATATTAAATAGAAGAACTCATAGATAAATGACGTAACTAAAATAACCTCTTTATTTTTTTGGGACTACAAGACCTTCTATGTTAATTTTTTAATATTTAAGATTTTAAAATTAATAAAATTTTATCTATTAAATTCTTATTAAAAATATGTAGGAAAGTTTAATAAAATCAATTTCCTAAGAATCCTCCATATTTGCAATACATTACCACTCTATGACATCCAATACCAAGAAACAATAAAAGTAACATTAAATAGATTGCATAAAGCGTTAAAATTAAGAAAAAATATTCCCATAATATATTTGTATATTATATTTGAACTTTTTTCTACTCAAATAATATAATTTTTAATTAATTTTTCGTATAATATTGAAAAATATACCTAATTATTAAATAACAACTAAGAAAATATTTAAGATTATAAATGTGTGAGAAAGAGAATGAAAAATAGTTTGTAAGAGTCAATACCACTAATCATTCTACAAACATAAAGATCTAAAAATAGAATGTCAGATCGATCTTTTTACTCCTTGAAAATAAATGTTTTGGTGGATAAACTTATAATTAAGATTAAATCTTAAAAATAAGAGATGAACTAATAGTAAGAATCTGAGTTAACATAAAAAAATTATTTTTTATATTAAGACCAAATAATTATATCTTTCAATCAATTATTTAGCAAGAGAATCCAATTCAATTATTTTTTAAATTCATCATATGAGTAAAATTGTTTTTAAAATTAAAAAAAAAGATCTTAGGATACATAAATTCATTACATAAAAAGAGCGTTAGAGATCTGAAAAAATCAGATCATAAAGTAAAAAAGGTTAGTATCGTATTAAGAATCAAGCGACCATACAACTATCTGTTAAAGCACAATCAAAGCTAAATCCTGGACAAGAACAAGTTTTCAAGACTATATTTTAAAGAGTCTACTATGGTATAGCGGAATTATCCTTTATAGATGTCTCCGGTGAAATCCAAATAATATTTCTATTTCATGCATTACTTGCAAATGTCAAATCAAAAGGCATGATATTGTTAGCAATAATAACAAATGGTGTACTAGCAACGATTTTATTACGAGGTCACTCACTTTAGATTTGATATACCTCTTCAAACAACTAAAATAACCATCATAAATATATCAAAGCAAAACAATGGTGCTAAATTTATAAGAAAAGCAAAATTGATAATATGGGATGAAGTGCTTATGGCTAAGTGTCAAATGATCGAAATAATTGCCCGGAGTTTTGGAGATATATTGAATATTAATGAACCGTTCGCGAAAAATTAATGGTTTGGAAGGTGATTTCTGTCAAGTACTACAAATAGTTCCAAACTCGATGAAAGCAGAGACGGTAAAAACTAGCTTGCCAAAATTATACTTATGCCTAGGGTTGTGCATTTGGATTAGATATTCGAGAATCTGAACCGATCCACCCTATTCAGATTTTCGAATTTCGAGTATTCGATAGGACATGGGTTAGGTTTTTTAAAAGTTTGGATATTCCGATCGGATTCGGATTGGTATAATCTTAATCCAATCCAATCCAAAATACGAATTATATGGATATATATAAATATTAGACTTATATTTTAGGATTAAGTCTTCTCATTTCATTCCCCTCTCTTTAAACTCTTCTTTTCTTAGTTTATATCGAAGTCTCTCTCTAACTTCTCTTCAGATTGCTCTGTCTGCTTCTATTAAGTCTTACCTTTGTATCTCTCATTCTTAGTCTCTCTTTCCTATCAACAAACAACGACTCCTCTTCTTTATTAGATATTTGTTCAGAATTTCAGCTTATTTTATTTTGCTATGAAACTTTTGTTTTTGTCTATTGCTATG